AATGTGGCAAAGTACATCAGTAAGGTCAGACTAGAGATCAATTCGGAAGATCTGAACTGACCTCTTTAAATGTATAAATTATGTATTATGACATTTAACTCATTTGTAAGAACAAAGTGAAATAACTATTCCATGACCCAACATTTGTCTCACAGAACTGCACCACAGACAGAGCAGCACATTACAGATACATTACCTTTGTCCTGGACTGAACCTGTTCTTTACAGATGAGGCATTTCTTGACACGCGGAGAACACAAAGAACAAGTTGCAATGTGTCCACATGGACCAAAAAGAGTATCTCTCTTCATGTCTGAGCACACCATACATTCCTCTAAGGTTTCAGAATCATTGCTAATCATAGAAGGACTCCGAGAACCCACTTGGCCACTAATAAAACAAAGTATTTCAAATCAAGCCCATCCAAATACTTTCAAATCAAGCCCATCCAAAAACAAATTTTTTTAACATCCAAAAATGTCATTAGTACACATGAAAAAAAAACCAGATTATATTAAAATTTAAATGTCAACAACTTTATGTAAAGCTTTTTTAAAATTTATTTTTCTACTTATAAAAGCTTATAATTTTCACATTTACTGCTCAAAAAAATAGACCAAAAAGGTACTTAAATGATTGGTTTTTACCTATTTATGAACCTCTCTGCATCTTCACATTCTTCTAGTACCAGTCAAACTTCAAATTAAATGAAGACTGATGAAAAAGGGTGAACTTCTAATGAACAGCTAAAAACACCGGCAAAAACCAATTTAATGAGCCAGGTGTCGTGGTGCACCCTTTATTCCCAGCACGCAGGAGGCAGAGCTCACAAAGGATGAAACACCAGAGAGGGAGACACTTCAGCAGCCGTTCTGATATTCCATTGAGTATGTTGTTCAGGAGGTTAAAATTACACTACAGAAAGGTAGACTACATCGCATAAATATGCACAAACAGGCAGGAAAATGCAGGTGTGTATAACTGATACAGCTATGGAAAGTAAACACAGGTTCCAAGAATTTAAGAATGCACATAAAGGTTCCATTGTAAGACTCCACTGTTCAAAGTCATCCCTGAGTAATTAGAGTGCCTATTTATAGATGAATTTAGTTTTCCTATAACAGAATTTTAAGTTCCTTAAAGATATACTTTAAAAATATATACATTTAAAATATATACATTAAAATAGCTAGCTTGGGCTCCTACTTAAATTATTTATATTAAAAAAGAGCTGAAGAGATGTCTCAGTGGTTAAGAGAATATACTGGTCTTTCAGAGAACCCAAGTTCAGTTCCCAGACAGAACACCTGTCTCAGCCTCCCGAGTGCTGGGATTAAAGCCATGCACCACTACCACCTGACTGTTAAATATACATTTTAGGAGCGGTGACAAAATATCAAAGTAAAGGGACAATACCAATAGTCAGTGATAAGAGGTATAAAGGTCAAGAATATGTTCATAGCATTGTTTGGATTAAAAAATAGAGATGTGTGCTTTTTTTGTATGTCTATCTCAGTAAAGAAAATATTTACACTGGAAGTTTTAATTAAAAGTGCTGACATATTTTACTGTCAGAAAAACAGAAATATGTGAAATGATCATCTTTAGGGAAATTGCTGCAACCAATTGGTTGAGTCATTTGTTCATTCTTTTTTTTTTTTTTCTGGTTTTTCGAGACAGGGTTTCTCTGTGTAGCTTTGCGCCTTTCCTGGAGCTCACTTGGTAGCCCAGGCTGGCCTCGAACTCACAGAGATTCGCCTGGCTCTGCCTCCCGAGTGCTGGGATTAAAGGCGTGCGCCACCACCGCCCGGCTTCATTTGTTCATTCTTTTAACCCTTTATTGCTAATAATTGTCTCCAAGTTCTTGGTGCAAGGTGCTAGAATCATTACAAACTTTCAATGAGAGTAAACTGCCCTTCATAGGAAAATATTATAACATTAATCACAGCATTCTCACTAGTAAGGCTTTTCCTTATAAATTCCCAAAGCACATAGGACTCCTAGAAGATCAAACTAGTTTAGTTAGTTAGAAAAGTTTCTTAAGTTTATCAAACATAAAGCGGTATACATAATGTGGGGAATACAACATGGGATGACACATAGTACATAGAGGAAATGCTTTCAAGTGCAACACAAAGATCTAAGAACTGCAAAGATCTTGACACCTGCAAGTACCAGCTCCTCCCTTATGAATGGAATAATGTGATGATGAAGACTACAAACCTGACTTTTTCCTTATGACATTTTGCCAGCGCTTTGCAGAGACTTGGGTCAGGACAGAGATCCAGTGGAGATTGACCCTTCTTATTTCGAATGCTGAGGTCGGCACCATTGGCTGCCAAAAAACAGGCAATAGATGCTGCACTCTTCTTTTCTGCCCCCTGGGTACCAAGTCCCATTATTAACTGAAATCAAAATAGAAAGAGTCATGATTTTCCCTAAGGAAATCTACCATCAATTATCACTACCAATATGTGTGTGTGCTAGACATTTATGAGTTTCAGTCCTGACATGGACTCCATCTCTCCACAAGCCCCATTTCCCTTGATCTTCCCACATTTGAGAACTGACTCCTCAGTGCACAAGTGGACCGAAAGCGGTTAAACCCAGTTGGATTCCTGCTTCCTACATGCCTGATTCAGAGACAGATACAGAACCAAAGTCAGGTCAATTACGGCTGAGAAACTCAAGTGCAGCTTCTGGTTAAGAAGAAACTACTTTTGTTCATATACAATGTTACTCTGGAGCTGTTACCAACTAACTCTCAATGTTTCTAAATCAAGGCAAAACTTAATGAGACAAACCAGCATCTGACTGTGTCATCTGAGCTATGGATCCAAACAAATATGAAATTGTTAGAGTAACTATCAAGATCCACTAAGCATCTACAATGAGCCATGTACTGTTTTAGGTACTTTTATGATCTCATGCAGCCTATGGAGAGAAGTGTGCTCCTCTCAAAGGGGTTAGGGACACACACCCGGAGTCACGCAAGACAAAAGTCACACACATTTTGGCCTCGGATCATTTATACTCTTTAAGATGGCAATAAAATTCATTTAGAAGTGTAAAGCCTTAACATAGCCAAACAATAAAAAAAAAAAAAATTCAAGGACTTTCATTGACTGATTTCAACATGAGCAAACATTGAATCACAAAGCTATAAGACATTTGAGCAGGCATCCCATAGCTAAGAACATGGACTAAAAAAACAAGATGGAGGATGTAAAAGGAGACGTCCCCACAGAGAGCTAACCGATCTTGGATAAAGGCAGCAGGCACTCAAGTAGAAAAAGACACTACTCAACAAATGGTGCAGGGACAGCTGGACATGCACCAGTGACAAATGAACGTCAATCTATGCTATTACTCTATATGAAAGTTCACTTTAACACTGAAACTTATTGGTTCAACATTATAAGCTCCTAAAGCAAGAAAAGTCTGAGTGACCCTCATTTTACCAAAGATTTCTTAGGACATATAAAGCATACATAATAAACATTAAGACATTCTGTTCTGGGCTGGAGAGATGGCTCAGTAGATAAGAGCACTGGCTGCTTTTCCAGAGGACCTGGTTCAATTCCCAGCACCCACATGGCAGTTCACAACCATCTGTAACTCTAGTTCCAGGGGATCTGACACCCTCATACAGACATACATGAAAGCAAAACACCCCAATGCACATAAAACAAGCATAAATAAATCATTTTTTTAAAAAAAGACATTCTGTTCTTCTAAGAAGATTGTCAAAAATTGGGCATGGTGGCTCACAATCCCAGCCACTCAGAAGTCAAGGTGGCGCACGCCTTTAATCCCAGCACTCAGGAGGCAGAGCCAGGCGGATCTCTCGAGTTGAAACCCAGCCTGATCTACAGAGCAAGATCCAGGACAGGCACCAAAACTACACAGAGAAACCCTGTCTCAAAAACAAAACAAAAAACCCCAAAAAACCAAAAAAGTCAAGGCAGGAGGATCAAGAGTTTGAGGACAACTGGGCAAGACGGTGAGGCCTCATGACAAAACCCCTCTATCAAAAGAAGGGAAAGATACATGCATGTGCTACACAATTCCCTTCTTGACATCCCAGGCCACTGCTGACAAGGACATCACCAGACTGATTTTAGACTTCTAGGCCCACCTGAATTTAGAGAAGCATCTTGGGGAAACACTAGTTCAAATGGAATCCCATCTCTTACAGCTTTCTAAGAATGAAACCCGGTTTTTGTAGAAGATAAAAAGGATCAAATGTCCGTTCTGGACTCCTCTACTGAAGAAGACAGACGTACCGTCATTATACATACAACTGGTGTACCCACACTCAGGACTTTCCTCTAGACTCAGAGGATAAAGCATCTCTCCAGTGTCTGGAAACTACACGACATGTAATTGTATGGGGAAGCTTTTGTGGATTTGTTTATTTGAGGTAGGGTCTCACTCTAGCCTAGACTGGCCTGGAACTCACTATATAGCACATGCTGGTCACAAATCCTGCCTTAGCCTCCTAAGTGGGGGATTACAGTCATGGTCTAGCATGCCTGGCTTTACATACATTAATTCTTGTGACTGTTCTTGACTAAGCTAACATTTCTATAAAAAATGCATAATAATTATGTTAATTCCTATACAGAAGCACTGCCACTATCAATTGTTAATTCTCTTCCACTGTCACCAACCCCCCACCCCACCCCCTGCCCAAAGACGAAGAGGAGGCAACAGCAGCAGCAGCAGCAGCACAAGCTGCAGACCAGGAGAAAACATGTATGTATCACATACTCGATACAATCTCCTTTTCATATTATATAAACCATTCTTGAAATAATTAGAAGAAAACAAAAGAACTAGGAAGTGGGAGACTGCTTGTGTAGTATGCATGAGGCCTTGGGATCAATCCCTAACACCTCAAAAAACAAAACCAAAAGAAAACAAAGAATTCAAAAATTATAATGAGAAAATTTTGAGCAGATAGCTCATCAAATACATGTGGTGTTGATCAAATGAAAAGCTGGTCAAAATGAACAAGCATTTGGGATTTCAAATTAAAACCGTAACAAATACCCACTCCACCCTATCTATAAAGCTGAAGTTATAAAGAACCAACTTTTGATAAGATGCAGAGCAAATGCACTTCGTAGTGACCAGTAGTATTGAAGTTTTATAAACCCAAGTACAACTCTGATAAAACGTTTTATCCAGTGCAGATTAGATAAGCAGCAAATATAAAACACGCTTCCAATGGCAGGGAGGAACACTATCTTTACTCACTGTGTTTTTTGATGGTTCCCAAGCAGCATCTACCTTCCCCACGTCTTGCATGTCTTGTAGCTGGCGTAGCTGAGACAAAGTATGATGCCTCAAAGCCTCATGCAAAGGAGTATCTCCATCCTTATCCTGAATGTCTAGCTTAGCACCTGCACGAACCAAAAGCTGAGAGAGAGAGAGAGAGAGAGAGAGAGAGAGAGAGAGAGAGAGAGAGAGAGAGAGGGAGAGATATGCCTCATTTGGATAGTGTCCACACCTATAAGAAAGAAACTACAGCAAATCTATACTAACAGTAAATACTCTGAACCCCTCCTTGAAATTTCAAGTAATAATAAATGTAAACACTGTTTGCTAAAACCCAAACACTGGACAAAATGGGTTACCGACTATTTCATTATGTGACTTGTACAGTAAGCTGTAAGTTCACTTTAGATTTTCCTTCTGGTGTTTTCACAATCTTCCTAATCCTTTCTACAAACACCATCAAAGAGCTCCAGACAATAGCATCCACAGACACTAATCTTATTGTACAGTCTTACCTGTCTTGGCAAATCATACTTTTTCTGTTTTGTTCTAAAAAGTTATATAAAATATTATTCTAGGACATATTTTTCAAACTTGGAAAGTATCACAACTTCCTGAAAGCTTGCTAAACAAGGAATTGACCCTCCTTTGGTGGTCAAGTTTTACTGTCAACTGGATTAGAGTCACACCTCTGAGCAGGTGTGTCTTTGAGGAAGTTTCTAGAGAGATTTAACTGAGGGGGAACATCCACACTGAATGTGGCTGGTCCCGTGCAATGGTCTGGGGTACCAGACTCAATAAAAAGGAGAGAGTGAGCTGAGCATCAGCATCAGCCCTCTCTTCTTCTGACTGGGGACACACTGTAGCCACCTGACCCCTGCTCTTTCTGCCGTGACAGACTGACTTCAAGCCAAGCCAACCTTCCTGAAGTCGCTTTTGTCCAGTATTTCGTCACAGCAGAGAAGTGACTACTAAAAGCTCCTCCCAGGCTCCAGTTCCGCTGGCCTGAGGCAGAGTACAAGAATGAACTTTCCTATTACATTTCCAGGTGACACTGTGGCAGCTACTTCAGTCTCCACACTTTTAAGTCACTGCTCCATAAAAATATTGAAACCAATACTTTTTTCAGGTATTTTGTTTGAAATCACCAGATTAGTAAATTAAAACTATATAGTTCAATTTTTAATTTGCAGCAGCAAGTTCCCAAAGCTTTTAATTTTACTATCCACTATATACATTAAGAGGGATGTAATTATTCAAATAATTTAATTGTTACTTTAAATTTTTCTCACTTAACATTATGAGAATTCAGAAATTTAAGAACAATATGATGAAGACTTTGAACTAGATATTAATGCCTTACCCTAAACTCTTAAGTTCCTTGAACTATGTCACTCTGAGAAGTAGAACACTGTATCATTTCAATTGTCACAAGTCTCTAAACCTGAGTATGGTTAAAAAGCTATTATAAGCTAAAATTAACAAGAAAAAATACTTTACCCTGACAATCTGGGTATGCTGCCGTTCAACAGCAAGGTGTAGGGCCGTTTGCTGGTTCACGTTCTGGATATCCAGATTTGCATTTCCCTAACAATGAAGAGATTTAAAATGGTTACATCTGGGCAACAAGGAAGATCATGCAAACTATTAGCTATGCACAAGGAACAGACTGACTGCCGACTGACCACTGTCTCCTCCTTGGAAGCTGCCCTGACACTGTTCTCATGTGGATAATGAAAACGAGACAGACAGCAAACCTACAGGTAGAATAGTAACTATCTCAAACCAGCTCACGGACAAAGCACACTATGGAGCTGAGGACTATTCTCTTCCGATATCCACTGAGAGGGCAATTCCTATGAATTTATAAACACCTCTGAAAAGCAACTGTGTCTCCATATAGGATTCAGAGTTATTTTAGTGACTTGATAAGTTCACTTCCTTCTGCTGCATAATTAAGCACTTCCTCATTCAGTGAGAAAGTGACCTGAGTAGTTATGATAAGTTAGCCAAGGTAAAGCAAGGAGTTCTATGCAGGCTCAGGAGAGCCCACGAGCTAATGGACCCTGAAAGCAGCTGATACCCACACACAAGGGAAAGGGTCTAAGGACAAAAGAGCTGATTTTGACACCAATGCACTTTTGGCTTAAGCTCTGCCACTTACAAACCACTTTTGTAAGCATTTCACCATTTACCCTTTTCTCAGTTCCATAATGGTGACAAGTATAGCGGATTTCACAGGGCGTATGGAAAGATTAAGAAATACAGTGCCTGGCATAACAAATCATAATTAAAACAATCAAGGCTTCAAAAGGCACATCTTAAACTAGTAGGTCTTTTCAATACTTTATTTTATGTGCATTGGTGTGAAGGTGACAGATTCCCTGGACTGAAGTTACAGATAGTTGTCAGCTGCCATGTGGGTACTGGGAATTAAACCCAGGACCTCCGGAAGAGCAGCCAGTGCTCTTAACTGCTAAGCCATCTCTCCAGCCCCCTAAACTGTTAGGTCTTAAGACCAGTCTAATCACAACTCTTGACGGTCACCTGTGCCCTTGCTTGGACTACTGGCCAGAGCTGAAACTCTAGTATGCTATGGAATATTCTGGAAGACAGACATTTCTGGTTTGTTTTTATTATATTTATTTATGTTTCTTTGACTGGTCATGAGGTACTGGATTCTCAGCTCATCACGTAATGTCTATTTAAATGTGGATACTGGAGAGAATAAGCCAGTGTTAGAAGTCTATCTTGCAAGATGCAGCGAAGTCTGATGTACTGAGTTTGATCTCCAAGACTCCCATGATGGAAGGACAGAATCATATCCTGAGGACTGTCTTTTGACTTCTACCATGCACCATGGTATAAACATAAAACCACAAATAAGCAGGGGACTAGGCGTGGAGAGCCAGGATTAGTCAGGCAGAGAGATGGATAACTTCAATTTCAGCACTTGGGAGGCTAAGGCAGGATCCTGAGTTTTAGCTAAGCCAGGGCTACATAGCAAGACTATTTCATGCAAACAAACAAAAATAACCAATGCTAAAAAGCAGAGAATACATTGCTTCAGTTTTCATCATCATGGAGGTTTTACTGCAGCCTATTACAATCCACTTGGTGAAATAAACTGAAGAAGTGGGAGTGTTCTGTTTGCTCAAACATAACTGCCCCTCCTACCTGATGGACCAACAGTTCAGCCACTTCCACGTGATTATTCAGGGCAGCCAGGTGCAATGCAGTATAACCATCATCTTTCTTCTCATCCACAATCCACGGTCTCGGCAATTTTGAGAGTAAAACACGCATTGCACTGCAAGGCAAATTCACACTGTCTTTACGAACTGTTGTTTTCTTCAGAAAAATCGTCAAAAGAAACCCTATTATCAAATGAAGATACTCTTTTTTTTTTTAAACAAAAAATCACGTCCCTACAGACAGACATTGTTGTTATAACTCTCAATGTTTAGATTTTTGATATTTGAGAGCTAAACAAACAATCCCCATTTGCCGAACAGAGCCAGCACAGAACATAAATGTCACAAAGGCAACTTTTCCTCACAAAAGTTGTAAAGTGGCCCTGGGGCCTCAAAATAAAGAACTGCTTTTAAAAATTAAGCTTTGGAGGACCTAGGAACCTCTAAACTTGAACTAATACTGCCAAGTCTTTTAAGTTTTATCAGATTTTTGTTTTTAGAGTCCTACTACTTTTGTAGGCAAGGCTGGTCTTGAACTTGAATCTCCCTGCCTCAGCCTCCCAAGTGCTGGGATTACAAACATGAGCCACCATGCCCAGCTCCACCCAGATTAATGGAAAGTCACTGGTGACACACTATATGATTTTATGACTGTGGTATCGTACACCATCTACCACTCTGCCTATTAGACCACATGAGAAAAAAACTTATAAGAGGCTTATATATAGCTTTTCTATGAAGTTTAGAAGATACATACATACATAAGCCATGAAAAATTGTATTAATAAAATGTTATGGGGATGTAGAGATGGCTTAGAAGTGAAGAGCACTTGTTCTTGCTGAGGACCCTGGTTTAGTCCCATCACCAATGGTGGCTCATAGCTGTCAGTCACTCTAATTCACCAGCCTTCTTCTGACCTCCTCATACAGGGAAACACCCATAGATATAAATAAACCTAAAACCATTTTTAAGGAGAAATAAAATGTCAGTATTTAAAGCAATGCAAGGGACTAGAGAGAGCATGGTTAAAGCTCTTGCTTTGCCCTTGAAGAGGACCTGGGTTCAGCTCCCAGCTCCCAGCACCCACGTGGCAGCTAACAAGAGTCTCTCCACTTCCAGAGAATCTGATGTCCTCTTCTGGCCTCCTAAGGCACTGCATGCATGTGGTTTACAGGCATACATCAAGCAAATACATAAAATAGCAATAAATGCATTTAAAAAGGCAATATAAACCAGCCATTATGCAACAGAGCCAAAGTTCAAGACCACTGTCAGTTACATAGTCCAGACTATCTAAGACATCATCTCCAAACAAACGAACAAAGCAGTAGATAAGAGGAGTGATTCAGTTATTAGAATACTCTCCTAATAGTACCTAAGCCTGGAATAGAGGAACACACCTGTACTCCTAACATTCAAAAAGGAGAGGCAGGGAGACCAGAACTTCAAGTGCATTTGTACTCACACAGCAAGTTCAAAGCCCCCCTGACCAAAGCTAAAATTCAGTGTTGGTATCACTGATTAAACCAAAGCTTTGCTACGCTGAGAAGCACGACAGTAATGGAGAGTGTTTAGTTTTAAATCTTTGTTTTCACTAACCTGAAATGTTCTCATAATGATTTTGACTGGTAAACTAAAAAATCCCAAGGCAAGTTACAAGATACTGGAAGAAGGACTAAGGCAAAGAAGAATGCATGGAAGACAGTTATCTTCTTGCAGTATAATCTATGTAGTACCACTTGACTATGTACATAGTTCAATTAACAATTTAAAAAAATCAAACACTAAGACAGTATTTGGAATTCACCCTCTTTGTTCCCCTCACAAGACTGACAGAATAAGAAACTATCTGTGCAATTAAAATTCAAAAGAAATATAGCATTATTTAGACCAAATGCCTCATTTTAAATAGCTAGAAATTATAGTACTAGGAAAGTATATTTATTTTAAAATTTATTTATTTTATGTGTATGAATATTTGCCTGAATGTATGCATATGTACCACATGCCTGCCTGGTACCCACAAAGGTCAGAAAGAGGGCTTCAGATCTCCTGGAGCCCAAGATAGTTGTGAGCCTTCATGCTGATGCTGAGAATCAAACCAGAGTCCTCTGCAAAAGCAGCTATTCCTCTTAACCATTTAGTCATTTCTCTAGCATCCCTAACAAAGTACTTGAAATGGTGATTTCTGACTTCCTACAGAAACTATCATATTGTCACAAGAGATGAATAAATAAATAACCAACAGTTAGGTTATGCATACAGACAACAGTGCAGAAAGATTTTTGGAAGATATCCAGACATCTAAGCTCTCAGAATACAACTACAGTAAGGAGGATAAAAATGTTCACCGTCTTTATTAACTGCAACAACAAATGAAGAGAGGTTTCAGACACACTGCCTCTTGCTCCTGGGGCAGTGTCTGTAAGAGATCTCTGCCCTTCAAACGCCAAACAAGCATTTTTAAAAAGAGGAATAAATGGTTTGTGAGTCAGACATGATGGGTCACACTTCTGATGTGATACTTGGGAAACTGAGGCAAGAGGACCTTCCATGAGGAGTTCAAGGCCATCCTAGTCAGTGCTGATCCTTTAAGAGACAGTCTCCCCGTGAATGGAGTGACTCTATCCATTCCTCCTAGATTCTTGATCTCCACTCTTCTTTTTGCCATTTAACCTGACATCCTAGTCCAAACCTGGAGATTACTCGATATGGAAGACATTAAAATCCTTCTGGTGATTCTCCTGTTTAAATCTACAACTACTGTGCCCAGTGGCCCAACATTTTTTAGATCAGTGGTTCTCAACCTGTGGGTCAAATAACCCTTTCACTGAGGTCACCTAAGACCATCAAACAGGTATTTACATTATGACTCATAAAGTAGCAAAATTACAGTTATTAAGTAGCAACAAAAATAATTTTGTGGTTGGAGGGGTCACCACCCACAAACTGTATTATGATGATGATGAGCTGTATTAAAGGGTCTCAGCATTAGAAAAGTTGAGAACCTCTGCTTTAGATAATAGGCCATCCTTATCTTTCTTCTGGACACTTCCACAACCCTTTGTGAGACACAAACATGACTATTTCACAATTTTCACAAACTTAAAATTAACATTTATCTAAAGTAGGACCTCCTAAATATTAAATCTTTTCACAGTAAGTCTAAAGCTGGGTATGGTGTGATGTGCCTTTAATCCCAGCACATGGGAAGTAGAGGCAAAAGGACCTGGAGTTCAAGGGCAGCCTCAACTACATAGTGAGTACCAGGCCAGCCTGGGCTATATGAGACCCTGACTCTAAAACTATATATATATATATATATATATATATATACACACACACACACACACACACACACACACACACACACACACACACACCCTATCTTAGTGTGCTTTTAAGAGAACATGAAACAATACTTAATGTTTTGCTGAAACAAATCATTGTAAAATCAGTATCTGATTTACTGGGGTTAACTTGTAAAGAAATGTTTACACTCAGGACTCCTTCAAAAGAGGAGGCAGGAAGACTGTGAAACCCAGAGGACTGGGGAGTTTGCTGTAAAGCTGTGTCTCCTAGAAATGTCAGAAGCTACACCCATGAAGCCTCACCACATGGCTAAACATGACCTGAACAAGGACGGTAACAACAGACATGCTAATGTAGATGGAGGAAAGCTCACCTAAGAACTACAGGCAACTAAGGATGCTGAGAGCAGGCGAAAGAGTCTTCCCAGAAAAGTTCACACCAATTGGTTATCCAATACCAAATAATTAGCCATAAATACATATACATACAAGTAACATTATACAGACTGAATAGGCTATATTTATGTATTTAGGCACACACACACACACACACACACACACACACAACAAGAAAAAGAGATCATGAATTTGAAAGAGAACAGTGGGTATACATGGAAGGGTTTGGGGGGAGGAAAGGGAAAATATAATCTTAAAAAAATAAAACAATTAAATATAAAAATAAATGTTTACAGAAGACAGATCTCAGCCAAAACTAAGGAAAGCTGGACACGATGAGGCAAGCATATAACCACAACACTTAAAAGGTTGAAGCAAGAGGATCACGAATTCAAGGCAAGCTAAGGGTAAATAAAGAGCCTGTCTCTTAAAAACTAATTACAATTAAAAAAAAAAAAGTGCAAGCCGGGCGGTGGTGGTGGTGGTGTACACCTTTAATCCTAGCACTCAGGAGACACAGCTAGGCAGATCTTTGTGAGTTCAAGGCCAGCCTGATCTACAGAGTGAGATCCAGAATAGGCACCAAAACTACACAGAGAAAACCTGTCTCGAAAAACCAAAACCAAAACCAACCAACCAACCAACCAAACAAACAAACAAAAAACCCCAAGTGCAAACTAAGTAACTATCAGCTAGCCAACAGTGTGTGGATTAATTTATTGCTTGTTTATTCATTTTTGTGGTGCTGGGAATGGACGGGTCTTACACAAGCTTTGCCACGAAGCTATAACCCTAGCCCTCTAGCTATCTAAGCTTTCAAGTATTTTTTTAATTTTTATTTAATGTTCTTTGTGTCTGCTCTGAATACCATATTATACATGTCCTATCCCTTGACTTGACATTTTCTCACTTTTGAGGAAGCTGCCATGGAGCACTAACTAGATGCTCTAACTCTTCACCTGGGATCTTGCCAGTTCTTCTCATGCTCACCCTGGAGTTATGGACCCTGGAAGGAAGATCACACAGCCTTGTCTCTTGTCACTTTCCACCCACTACCCACTTCACACTCTTGGTGCTGACCCTGACACCTAGATGGAGGGGTGTGGCATACATAGTTCTCTGCTGCACATTGTCCTTGCTCCTTCTACGCTATCTTTTTTTTTTTTTTTTTTTGGTTTTTCGAGACAGGGTTTCTCCGGGTAGCTTTGCGCCTTTCCTGGAGCTCACTTGGTAGCCCAGGCTGGCCTCGAACTCACAGAGATCCGCCTGGCTCTGCCTCCCGAGTGCTGGGATTAAAGGCGTGCGCCACCAACGCCCGGCTCCTACGCTATCTTCTTAACAAGCCGCTGCACAGCCCACACTCAAAAGGTGCAAAGCCATGTCCCCTGTTTTGAGAGAAGCATCTACACGGGCTAATGGGCACATTCTCCACTGGAGCTGTAGGGATTCACCTTTTGCTTCTATTAAGATCTTTTTCTCTCTCACTCTTCAGATATATATATATATATATATATATATATATATATATATATTTCAATGATTTATTTTTATTTTACGCACATCAGTGTTTTGCCTGCATGTATGTCTGTGTGAGGGTGTCAGATCCCCTGGAGCAGGAGTTACAGATAGTTGTGAGCTGACATGTGGGTAATGGGAATTGAACCCAGGTCCTCTGGAAGAGCAGCCAGTGCTCTTAACTGAGGAGCTATCTCTCCAACACTCCTCTTCAGAGATCTTAATAAGAAATTTATCAACCCCTTTAGAAAAGTAAATAAAGCATTATATGACCTTGAAAAGATAAACCATCTTTGGGCCCAGTCTGCAAGGTAAGCTCAGTGAAAATAAAGGACGGGTTCTTGGTCCGTCACCTCCATACCCTGGGACCAGATTCTTTCCACAGAATGGGTCATTTCCACAGAACCTGGAAGGGCAGCCGCAGGCTCTTCTTTGCAGCACTTCTAGCTAGGTACAAGGAAAGCCTGTGGCTATGCAGCAAGCATTGGGGGCCATGCAGTTACATGAAGACACTGTTCCCAGCTCACTGAGTCAGTATCTTTATTAAGCCAACAGATCACTGCTCGCAGTCTCTAAGATTTGGTGACACACTCTTCTTCATTTCTCAACTAGTTCTCTTACAACAGGTTAAGGACATAGATGTTTTATAGATAAGATCTTACGACCAGTTAAGCAGGCATCTGTAAATAGTGCCAAAAAAGCATTGAGTTCCAGAACAACTAAGAGCGATGCCTAGCATAATCCCTGGCACATGGCAGTGCTCAGACATTTGCTGAATGACGAACACATGAGTTCCAAGAAGCAGAGGGACAAGCAGCTGTCTACACTGGTATGTAGTGCTCAAATGGCACTGTGTCAATTTCTAGGGCCTGCCATGCTATTCCTAATGTCTTCCTTCAGCAAGAGAAAGAACTTGTTCCCAAATAAACCCAGCAGGTAAACTATGGAAGCCTTCTATATCACTAACACTTAATTTTAAAAAGACATTAGAATAGCATTATACTGGGTGTTCGATAAATCTCTGCTTAGCTAATTTAAGAATCCCTTAAGAAAAGGTAAAGAGGTTAGTACAGAACTTAGCTTTTTGAGCCATGTCAAACATTACTATACAGTGTGTACTGTGGATTCTTTGCACATGGAAACCAGAGGCCAGGATTCGCTGATTGGAAAGAACGAAGAAGCACAGGAACCAACCCTGAGCACCTAGACAGGGTACTAGGAATACCAGATCTTTGGTGGATGATGAGCCCTGGGAACAGGAATTCTCTAACTCCTTTTAGTATTACAACCCAGAACAGGAACATGTCATAGTGTTCATTGCTACCCAACAGCAAAGTGGAGTAATTTAGGACCCTGAAAATTAAGTTCTTTTAAAATCTGATATGTATCAACTGTTAATGTGAATAAATTAACAGCTAAGAAGAGTAAAGTCCTCTAAAATTTGCCAATATCCACAGCATTCCTTTAAAATCCTTTAAAAGAGCAGCCCCACCCCCAGCAATTTAACACTAAAGACAAATGAATGTCAAGGACAACCTCTTGTCTGAATGCTATGAAAAGTGATGCAGTTCTACTTGACTCTTAGCTCAGTGGATACTTATGAGAACACATGTGAATTAAGAACAACATGTACTTGGTTTCTCCTGCCCATTTTTTTTTTTTTTTAGGCTTTTGGGATTTAAATTTTATCTTCAAGGATTTGCTGGGTTTGATGTTTTAACACTGCTCATCTTTGGTTAAAAACAAGTATCTGTACTGAATTTACTCTGAATGTACTATTAAAATTGAGAACAGAAGTATTTCTTGTCTTTAAGGCACTATATACACAGCAAAGCTATGCCAAATTCATGACCATTTTAGTCTGTGGATGGTTACACCTAAATGCTATTTAGAAAACTGGAGCCACGGTTTATTAAGGAGAAGAAAGAAACAACTTCAGATTTAGGTATAAAACAAGAGTCTCATTCACACTAAAAGGCATCTTTGGACTTGTACATACATTGTTCAAAGCACAGAATTACTCAAAGGCATTCCTGCCCTGTTTTCACTAAGCACTATAACAGTGACCAAACCAGACACTGAACTGAGAGTTCTAAGTACATTTCAAAGGATTCCTTACATGTTACTCTTTTCTTAATGATCTTATCTCAAATTACTATAGAGATTCTACCTACCACTTCTGTTTTCCATTCAGGTACTATGTATGATGTTTTAAAACCATCTACAGAAATAACTAGCCCTAAATATAACTGTTCAAAACCCCTATAGGCCAACAGTTGTGTAATCCATTACTGTACAAAACATTTCTTAACCAACAAAAACAGTCACATTATGAAATACTTTGGCAGCAGAGGGATTTTACATCCTCCAGATCTGCCTGAAGTCTGTCTTGCTACTAGCCAGGGTCAATTTTGTGGGTCTCCTTTTCCCTTTTCCTCTGCAGTGCTTCTAAGTATAGTGACAGCCGCATGAGGTTTTCCCCTAGCCTCAGCACAAGCTCGGGGAGCATCTGGGACATGTAAGTGGAAACATGAGACACTGCTTTATTTGGCAGTTCTTAAAAACAGGCAGGACAAATGGCAAAGCGGTGTTTGGACCACAGGAAGAACAATCAATAGGCAGAAAGCAAGATAGAAGCTTCCTCAGCCCTCAGATCGACAATCAACAGCTGAGAGACTATTTTTTGCTATGGTTGACTAAATATGGTCAGGGAAGAGAGAGGCACAGAGAGCCTGTCTGCCTGGGGTGCATGTTTCAAATGCTTAGCTGCCTATAAAGCTCTGACAGCCTAGGCTGTGGTTACTGAGGAAGAATATAAGTTGGCCTCTGTGGTGACCATGTGAAGTGCTGACCTCGCTTGCAGACTTGACCTCTGGATATGACAAGGTAGCTTCACTCCAGATCTACCATTAACCCTGGAAATTCAAACTCCCGTTCCCCCAAAAGAATCTCAAAGCAAGAAAGATGCAGGCTATTTCCTGAGGCGGCAGAAGAACCCAATGTACTCTGGTGGCCAAGGAAACAGGGTGAATGTTTATAGCTACTTGGGGGAGCCAGGTGTGTTCGGGGGTTTTGTTTGCAGTTTTGTTTTTGTTTTTAATCTATCTTTAACTTCCTCTGCAACTTCTTCCCTCTTATGAATCATTTCATCTAACAACAAAAAAAAAAAAAAAAAAAAACAAAACTAGGTACATTTTCTTTGCCATTGTAGCAACCTTCCCCCATTAGTTAACTTTCTCTACCTATCTATGCAATAATTGATATATTACATTCTAAATTGTATGACCAACGTTGATACAATTCTAGTGTGCGTGTATGTATGTATGTGCATGCCCACATGAATGTGTCTGTGTGTGTATGTGTGTGCTGAGGAAGGGCAGTAGAGAAAAGCAGATTATCTAATTTTTGTTTATTTACTTGTCTTTCAAATTTATCTTAATAGGTGAGGTTCTGTGTCCTACTTCACCCAGCTCATAAAAAGAAGTGCTGAATCAGCAGATAAAGTGAGGGAGCAACCCTGGTATGGCTGCGGCATGACTCTTGAGGTCATTATCTCTCTCCCCCCTGCAAATGATGTAGGACTCTAAGCTCGCAGGTAACCACGCACAAGGGCTGAATTGTAAGGATGCTTTGGACTTTCTGCATGCTTATCTAGTATTAACTGACATATATTCTTATTGTTAAATTAACTTATATCTGGGCACAGGCTAATTTCAAAGCTCAAATTGACAATTTAGTTTTTAAAATGCCATTGTTCAAATAGTATGCCAGATAACTTAAAAAAATATACAGTCCACCACTGACATTACATTACTAAAGATTTAAGCCTTTAATGTTTTAGATAAACAATTGTTTCACTTGTTCTCACTTCTCCGGGAAATTGGCATCGATGCCTCCAGCGTATGATAGCTTTTAAAAGCTACTTCAAGATTTAGTTATCCAGGGACCTAGCAGGTTATAATGTCTCCACAGAAATGTGTACGAAGGTGCATGGTGCAATTCTCAGCTGCACTGCTCACTGCTGCCCATTCCGGCAGCTGCACCAGCATTTTTCACAAGCTGTAGAAATTCTACTAGCTCCAATTCCCCCAGTACTTACTTTTCTATACTTTCCCAAATCTCAAAATTTCTCAAGGTCTCCTTTCGAATTAACTTTTTAAATGTCATAATGATTAAAGACCACTCACTTTTTTTCCGCCCCCTTGGTGCTGAATACTCAAGGTAAAACCCAGAGTCTCATAGACTAAAGTGCTTTTGCTCTTTTATGGAGACTTTGAAAAAACTGTTTTAGTAATTTTCCTTTATATTAAAAGCCAATTTTAAACAGTAATCTCACACAAGTCAAATATTTACATATCTATCTGAATTTGCATTCAATGCAAACAGAAGCACAAAATTCAGGTAAGGAACTAACAGCAAAAGAACAACAAAGAACTTACCAAATGACAGTGAGTTTTTATTTGTTAACTTGAAAATTACCATTTATGAACACTCATTCACTCACGCAATAAAATGACCCAATTTTCAAACCCTGCATCAACTCTAAAGCCAATTCTAGTATAATTTGTTCCTTCCAAAAAGTCTTAAGTAAAAGTATCTCATTAATAAAAATAATTTAAACAAAACTAATTGTCATCTGTTTATAGGATCTAAAAGCAAATTATGAAGAAAAAGGAAAAGGGCCTGTGACCGAGACAACAGCAATCAGCACTAGCATTTCTGAATGCACTTGGGACTCCACTGACTCTTTGCATCTCCTGAACAGAACCAAGTAGGACAAAGTACCCAGTGCTTATGTACACCAAGAACAAAGAACACCGAGTGCACAGTGGGATCAGGTAAATCTGTTGTAAGATTCGGTCTCTGATAAGCTAATCTCTGCAGGTGATCAATCACCATTCCATATCCGTAATCAGAATGGTCCACTAACCAATGGGGGAAATGGGCTGCTTCAAGGTTTCACAGCAAACGGCTGGTAGTGCCTACTCAGAGCACATACTTCTTTATGTACCCATATGAACATACACTGCTATGGAATGTAAAGAAGTATGTATTTTGGGTAGGCAATTGGCCATCAAGAAGGAGCAACTCTCTCCAGAAGGATGACCTTCATACGATGAATTAACAAACTGTCAAGTAAATGGCCATCGACTGATACTAACATCCCTATTCCAAAAGTACCAGCTATTTTTGCAAGTGCAAACTAATATCCCTGACATTATACTCAAAAGTTCCACAGAAGTGGATCTCAATTTATGCTTTAATTCTACATTCTACATAGTTTGCATACTCACATGACATACTCACATGACTAAAATTTGACTACTACAGAAAAAACAGTATTGCCAGCACAAAACAGTGAGACACAGATCAATCATTTTCTGCCTTCACAATTTGATCTTTATTTAAGTGTATTACATTAATCAAATCAGGACCAACAGATCTAATGAGAAAAATAAGGCAACAAAAATCACATTAGAAATGTGATTTTACTCACATTTTTAATAGCTCTTCTTCACATGTGGTAAAATGTATCACCTATTAAAATCAGAGGACTTTCTAAGGCAAATTTTCCAGTTTTATATTTTCATTTCTGACACTATAGAAAACTGATTTTTAAAGGCTATCTTTTAAGTAAAATTATACTGTACAAATGAAATCACTGGCAGCTCTTAACCAATCTCCACTTTAAATGCTGTGACTACTTAGAGCATGAGAGAGGAGGATAAAAATGACAAAATGCTGGACCACAACTAAACGTCAACAGGCTACACTGGTGACAAACTATCAAGTAATCTAACGTCTGCATCATCCTTGCTTATATCAAAGGGTATTATTCTGCTCATAATAAATTACGAACAACTGTATTAGTTATTCCACAGCTCTGGAAGGTTTTAATAATTTTTTTTTATTAAGACAATTTTTTCATTCATTTTACACACCAATCAAAGATCCTCCTCTTCCTTCCTCCCCAGCCTCCCCCTCTCAATCCAACCAATAATTCTTTAAAAATACATTTCAGCAACTAGGAATTTCTAGCACAATCCTTAGAAAATGCTGGCTATTCATTTGTAAAGTAAAATTGAAAACTGATTCTGTTGCTTCCAAGTTTAGCTAACATATCTGGGCATGTTTTCTATCACTCTGAAATGTCACGTCGAGCACTTAGATCAGGTGTTCCTTTTGAAGGGAGTACATGTGAGACTCTGGGCATCTGCTGACACTGCTGTAACCCAAACAGTTCAACTGTCTCCCTGACAGGGATGACAGATGCTGACATTATCAAACGCTGTACTATTTTTTCCCATGGCCTCTCCTTGCCCTGATATGGCCAGTACATGAAACTCCACCATCCAAAAGCACTCTTGAGCAACTGGACCTGCTGAACGGCTGCCATGTACCTACTAAAGATAGAACCAGCCTGGTGCTATCTTCAGCACTTAAGTTCAGGCCACTGAATATCTGTTTCACTATTAGAAAAATGATGGAAAGAATTAAAATTACATTAATTTCACCAGCAGAATAATACTTAACAACGAACAGAAGCAGAATACAATTTACGACTCTTTGCAGAGTGTCTGAGCCTATGTTGTCCTTTTTGCGGGTTAGTTTAAGACAATAAATGTGGTATTTCACTCAGCATTTTTATTTTACAAACTATCATTTATCAGACTTTTATCTTATGAATATGTTTCAGAAGATATCCTTCTCAGACAGGAAATCTACAGCAGAACCATATTATAAGTACTTAAGTGCTGCTTTTAAAAGTATCATGTGATATATTTTAATACTCAAAATTCATGGATTATAGCTAACTACCACATGTCAATGTATCACTAATCCTATAATAAGAACTAAACAATCTATATTCAAAGTAGCACAGAATTTAGTTAAGGAAATAAATCTTTAAGGAGGTTAAATTATGACCCAAGGTTATTATGCCAACATAAGCAAAAACAAAGAATGACATTGAAGACATGTGTGATCTATTTATAAACTAAAGGGCAGAGGTATTTTCTTAAGGCCACTCATATCCTGCCATTTGCACCAACAACTTGCTTAGTCCTCAGCAATCACACTAAAATAGCAGTGCAGAAATATGTAGCTAAAAGGACTCTTTCTCAACTTCCAGTTTAATTACTTAGAAACCTGGCTTGCAGGCTGGATGTGGTGGCACACAACTTCAGGAGGCAAAGCAGGTAGATATCCATCTGAGGCCAACCTGGTCTACATAATGAGTAGCCAGGGCTACACAGAGAGACTCTTTGTTGAAAGGAGGGAGGGAGGGAGGGAGGGAGGGAGGAAAATAGGAGAGAGAGAGAGAGAGAGAGAGAGAGAGAGAGAGAGAGAGAGAGAGAGAGAGAGAGAGAGAGAGAGAGAGAGAGAGAGAGAGAGAGAACCTGCTGAGAGATAGCTTGGAAACATTACTCTGAAATACATTATGATGTCTGTTCTTCTGTAACGTCATTAGTTATGTGCATTTAGGGGTTAAGTGAAGATGCACACCAATGTGTTAACAGAAAACTTCTAAGGTGCAAGAGGAGCAAATAGCAGGACATGCACCTACAAGTGGGGATTTCACTTTTAGCAACAGGCACAACAGTTCAGGAACTTCTAACACTTGTCCTGCTGTATTTCTACAAAAGAGCACTTAACCAGTTTGGATCCTACACTAGCAGCGGCAATGCTTTGCTAAAGCTGGTAAAATGGAACCAAATCGCCTCTTCAATGGATTTGGTCCCCTTCAACCAGCTGTAGCTATGCATTGATTACCACAGGACAGCCAGCATTTCATCTGTGAATATGAATTACATGGCAACTAATTTCTGCTTATTAATTTATTCTGACTGTAATTAAAAGAAAATAACTAGCAACTGTCAATTTTATTTGGAAGAACTATAGTGATTAAAGATGTTTATTAAAAGCTTTATGAAAAAATGTGTGATAAAAAGGATTTCAAATAAAGTTATTCATTTGTGGTCTTTGGCATTAACTTCATTTTAATAAATTTTAAAAACTATTATAAAAACATTGCAAATTTTAAAAATCACACTATTAAACGTCTCATTTTTCTGAAAACAAGAAAATGCCTACTTATTACCTGATAAACTTCCTGAAAAGGAAAGAAAATCTGAGAAATTCATCAAAACTCACCTAAAAACATGATCAGAATATATTAGTGTTTCACATGGATATGCATATTTTAAGAGTTATTTCTATAATCCTTAAAAGCATGTGTATTTGTATGTGTCTGTGAGGGGTCATGTGCACAAGAGTGAGATGCCCACAGAGGACAGAGGCATCAGATCACCCTGGAGTTACAGACAGGTGTACCTGCCATGGGTACCAGAAACTGAACTCACGCCTCTGAAAGCAGTATATGCTCATAACTGTTGAGCCATCTCTCCAACACATGGTATGCTTGTTTTAAATAAAAAAAAAAAAACTGTAATAATATTTAGCACTCCAGAAATGGAATCACTATCTTCAACAGGGCTACCCTTCAATTTTGCCACTATTTAACAAGTGTTAGCATAATGCTGCAGGATGCTGTCTCAGGGACAGACTTTAAATAAACGTCTAATTCTTCTGATCCTGAGCCTGAAGCAAAGGTTTCTAACATTCAAAACAAAGAAAATGCTAAAACATTACTACTTATTATTTATGAAGACTTTCAACTCTCCAGACATGTTGTGTTCCTCACCTGGCAACTGGCAATCCTCACTAATAAACATGCCACTGCTCTCCTGTCTCTGTCAGTCACAAGAACTTTCTTCACAAGTCTCTCAGTGGAGAGAAACTGCAGGAGACAGAGACCAATATCCGCCCCGTTTTCTCAGTAACTACAGTAGAACTGGAGATGACTTAATGTTCCTTAATAAACAGGCACTTGATGAAGGTACTGCAGGCAGGTATCTAAGTATCATGTGGATGCATGCTCATCTAAATAAATCTGGTTTTCATTTTTATCAACACAAATAAATTTTTTAATCTTGATTTACAACTGAAATTTTATCCAATGGAGATAAAACAACAAGACTAACTAAACTCTGGGGGGAACATCTCTATAAACATCAACCATCTGGCTGGAAATGTAGCTCCAGGGTGCCTAGCACAAAGTCCTGGGTTCAATCTACAGTACTACCAACATATAAGCAAAAACAAACACACCAAATATCAGAAAACATGACCAGTATTATTCTGAGTTAAAGTTCTTAAACCTACAGATCAGCTTTGAAATTTACAATCTGTATTGATCGGCACCTTCAAGTCCAGATCTCAAAGTATATCTTTCATAAACATAAGGCACCTAGGCACATTTTGAAGACCAAGATAATAAAAGTTTTCCTTCAGAAAATCACATCCAATAATTACCAGTTCTTACCATTTTGCTGATGCACTGCTGAAAAATTACTGTTATTAACTAAAAGCCAACCTGGGGAGTAGAACCTACTCAGTTTCTACATACATACATACAAGTGCATATGCAAATTTTGGAAACTTCCCACAATTTCAATCATAAAAAGTAGAAATAATTACAAGCAAATACTTGTCACAATAGTAGCTTATACAATGATGTTTAAAAAAAAAAAAAACACTAATGGGGGGGGAAAGTACAAATATTCTAAAAAGAAAAAAATCTTCAAAAACATCCAAGAATTATATTAACTAAAGAACTACTCACTAGTTGCAATTTAAGTGTAACAGAAGTCCAGTAAGCAATCAATTATACTAAGTAATTGCAGTCAATGCAAAATAGAAACAGGCTAAAACAACGTGGACAGCAACCACGCTAACAAGAAATACTAGAAAACGGTCAGTCTGTTAGTATTCGATATTTTATCTAAAAAGAAGGAAAAATTTTTAGCATTTGGAAGTAATGTGCCATATCTGTTTTTCTAAGGTAAGAATAATTGCCCAAAGTCTAGAAAGAAGAGTTAACTTTAATATCTGACATGAAAAAATCTCGAAATACCCAACCTGCTACTACAATTGTCACATATGTTTAAATGACCACTTACTGTCTTCAAATAAAATCTGTGTATGGCAACCAACAGTCACAACCGCCCAAAAATAAAGAAAAAGGAATAAAAGATTCAGCTAGCATTAACCAAAGACACTTTGTTATAAAATTAAATATTTATCTGATGCATGCAGGTGTGTGTGCGCCACGGTAGACATGTAGAGGTCTAAGGATGACTTCCAGAGGTGAGTTCTCTCCTTCCATAACTGGGACCTGGGGACTGCACCCATGTCATCGGGCAACAAGCACCTTTACCCACAGAGCCATCTCTCCAGCCCTTTCCTTTCTTTGTGAATATCATCTAATACAAATTAGCTGGTTGAAGAAGTCACTTTACGAGAATCCTCAAGAATTACACAATAATTCAAGAAAGAGAAGAAAAACATTCCCCCTCCTCAATATGCTTAGCTTATTAACTATACTATGATCATATCTAATGAAAACAAAACAATTCAAAATACTTAAGAGACCTGTTTTCTAAAACCTTCAAACTTCTAGTCCATCTTAAACTACATGATCTAACATTACAGCCTAAATTTCCTCAAAAATCTTTTTGACCATTTAATATGAAGTACTTGCGCCATCAGAATACCTACAGTTTTCCTATAGAATTCATCCTGTAATTATTCATATACTGTCTTTTAAAATCTTGTAGTTCCTTTTCTATGAAGGATATCTGAGTGTGTGTACTATTCGGACATGTGAAAGACATATGTATGACTATGAACATCCACAGTCTTAAGAGAAATGGACATAGCAGGTAGCACTAAGGGGCCGGCCACACATGTAAGTAACACGAGTGAATGAACAGAACTCTGGGGGAGAGAAGGAGACAGCTGCAAAGGGAAAAGAAGGGGGAGGTGACTAAGGTGACAAAGAATTTCTCATAAAGAAAATGTTTGAGAGCCTGGAGGAAGAGAGCAGACAGCCTACTTTAGGAAGGAAAACAGTGTGATAATGTAGCTGAAGAGCAAGGCAGGCAGAAAGGTTTCATTAGTGGAAGATAGAGGCATAGGAATATACACTGGCCTATAATCCTAGTACTCAGAAGACTGAGGCAGGAAGGTGACAGTTCCAGGCCTACTTGAGCTACACAATGAAACCGCCACCTTGAAAAAGAAAGGGCTTGAATGCCAAGCCAAGGCATATAATTCTCACATACACCATCTATGAAATGAGGTTATTAACAGCCAACTCAAAGACTGTTCAAAGGGCCAGGGCCACAGCTTGATGGTACAGTGTTCATCTCAAAGCTGCATGGTCTAGTACAATCACCAGCAGTGCAAGAACAACAACAACAACAACAACAACAACGGTCCTTCAATTCCCTCCCCTAACAGCAGCCACAATAAAAAAAACCCTTTTGTTTTCTATGACTACCATCATGTGGTCATCCTAAGAAGCTTTAACAAACACATTAAGGAATTCCAAAGAATAAGACTTCACAGATAAAATTATTGAATGTCAAAGTGAGTATTTTTCTTAGTCAGGATATATAGAGTTTCATTCAACTATAAAGAAACTTAGGTTAAAATTGTTCCAAAAAGTGAGTTGATGAAAACTTCATCATTCAGTAAAGCTAAGTGTTGGCATTTGAGGGTTTTACTGATCCTTGATGAATATTATGACTCTCCAAAGGCAGCCTCTCTCATATTTTAACCAGCAAACCCTTTTATCGGGTAGAACACCCACTAATAAAACATGATTAGGGTTCCTCGATGTCACATATCTACATAACCCAGCATTAATAATGATCATAAATATCATGTGAATGGATAATGTGAGATTAGAAGATACCTTGATAATGATGTTGAAGAAGCAAAACATCTTAAATGCATTTAATTAAAATCTTTAGATATTAGTCAGTACTCCTGATATTTTATATCTACATTCAATAGACATCTAATCATTTCATAATACTTATTCATCAGGTGTAATTCTTGAGGATTCTCGTAAAGTGACTCCTTCAACCAGCTAATTTGTATTAGATGATATTCATGTTACCTGATGAATAAGGGCATATTTTCTACAGAGCTTTATCATTTGAGATGCTGACATTAGCTGAAACTGTCCTCATCACATCAGGAACAACAGGAAAACAGTCTTAGACAGCACCTAAAGCGGTAAAAGAGGCCATTTTTACCTGGGATTTCCTCTCAGTGCAGCATGATGCAGGGCATTGAACCCATTGTTGTTAGTGATGGTCACATCTGCTCCAGCTTCCAAAAGAACTGCCAGGATGTCATCCCGCTTCTTACTTATGGCATCATGGAGAGGGGTGTCACCTTCAGAATCCTTTTATTTTTTATTTTTTAAGTTTAAAGAGATTTCCATTAGTTCTCCTTCCACTGATCACCACATCAACAGCGAAGAAGACTTTCGCTGAACTTCTAAATAAAGAAGCAGGCTCGCTAACAAGCAAACAACTGTCAGTCAGCAATCATGCTTAGAGTTCTTGTTGGTTTGCTGTTGAGATGGAGGTGGGCATGGAGGTGGTTGTTTTCTGAGACAGATTCCCACAATGCAGCCTGAGCTGACCTTAAACTTGCTCTATATAGTTGCAAATGGCGTTGAATTCTAATCCTCCTGCCTCTACTTTCCGAATGTTGGGATTACAGGCGTGTGCTAACACACCCAATTTCATGCCTTATTAAATATAAAATGCAGGCAAAAAATGGCAGGGCTGGAGATGTGACTCATTTGGGAGAGCACTGGTCTCCCATGCACAAAGCCCTAGGCTCTATTCTCCAGCATCACATGAAATGGCCATGACAATACACACCTGTAATCCTGGCACTTGGGAGGTGAAGGCACAGAGGGCAGAAGTTCAAGGTCATTATTGTCTACAATATGAGTTCAAAGCCAGCCTGGGCTACAAGACACCCAGTCTCAAATAGTAAAGCAACGTACAGCAGCAGTCTCAGGCCCCACAACAAAGAGTTTAAAGCTAGTGGTTTTCAGCCTTGACTACACAAGTATCGACAATTCTTCAGTTTCCTATATATTACTATAATATGCAAAATTGGTGAGAATCAACAACAAAGTATTTTCAAAGGGCAGGAAAGTGGCTACATAGTTGAAAGCAGAAACAATGTAATCAAAAGCTGTAACGTCTAAATCTGCTTTAAAAACAGTATCTCTGTCTAAGGGGTGTGGTGGGTGTGGGTGGTGCGAGCGGAAGTGCCGGTGTGCACACGCGGAAGTGCACACCCACGCACACATCCACAGCGTCCAGAGGAGGACATCAGGCATCTTCCTCCACTCTCCCACTTAATTCCTTTAAGGCAGGGTCTCTGACTAAATCACACGTTTACTGTGTCAGCGAGGCTGACCAGCCAGTGAGCTTTAAGACCCACCGGTGTCCATCAACCCAATGTTGGGGTGTGGGCATGTGAAGCTATGCCCAGCTTTTTGTGTGGGTGCTAAACATCTGCACTCACATCCTCTTGCTTGCAGAAGTGCCCTCACTCACTGAGCCATCTCTTCAGTCCCTCAATCCACCTTTTCTGAAGGTATTTATCATTAATCAATTTACTTAGCAAAAAAATTCTAATTCAATATCAACTGCCTGCATAAATGAATTACTTAGAGCTTATACAATGTATAGTTTTACAAAGTCTATATGTAGCCTACCCTCTAGCATACAGCACAATTGTCAGATACAGCTTTCCACCTGTTGTTATAAACTAAAACTTACTGGAACCTATACAGGCATGCCCATTCACTTATGTATTAGCTATGATTACTTCATTTTATAATGGCAGAGCTGTATGGTCTTGAAACAAAACACGTGAAAAGCCACAGTAGCATCTGTCCCTTTACAGAAAATGTTTTCCAATCACAGGCACCCACCCACATAAGGTATTCCTAACCCAAATTCAATCCAACCACCTACCTTCTATGTGGTAGCACTAAAAATGTGTGGCATCTCACTTGAGGAAAACTCTTAACGTGCTTGGAACACCCTTCCACGGGTCCCTGGTCTGTCCTGCTTTCTGGTCCCCACAACAGCTATTCTAAAGTACAAGTCTCAATTATGCTTTGTGTACCTCAATCCCAATTCACATTCCCTACATATAACTTTGCCTCCCATTTCAGACAGAAAGGTGAGTAGTTCTAATTCCATTTTTTTTTTCAACAGATTACCCTCAGTTTGTCCTCCGTCCTTCAATTTTGCTTCCTACTTATAAAGCCACATCCTAGACCTTGCCACTTCAGAAAAATTACTTCCTAATAACAACTGCTGAACAGCGCCTCATACTCTCCTCTAAAGCCCCTGCTCCAACTGCTCCACTCTTCAGCCACATCTTAGTATCTAGGGATTCTGTGCTGAGATCATTCATACCACAAGCTAATTAAGTTCAGAATGATTCCTCCCACTGTGTTCTAATTATTACTGAGTTTTCAACTTAAGGAAAGTAATTCTGCATATTCAAATAGTGTTTCAAGGACCACTTTTATTTAAGAATAATAAGTATTTCAAATCTACTTTGTTAAAGCTGATCAAGATAAAGAAAGGCTAGGAAGGAAGCTAAGCACTGATATGTTAGGATTGTGTGATATTTACTTTGCTATGAAGTGAAGTATTCACTCTAAATTTTAACCTTATCTGTATACAAAAGACATTAATAACCAAATGAGCACATCATGAACATAGACTGTGTTTCTCTTACATATGTGGTTTAAGTTAATCTGGTCGCTAAATGAGCTTTAAAAAAAATCATTTCTTAGGTAAAATTTTTGCCTCAAAAATTAGGATCCTTTCCTTTCTACTGTAAATCAACAAAATATATTTTCCAAAACAGATCTAAGCCAAGAATCCAGAATAAATTAAACTACAATGAAAATATTTAAATAGTTATGAAGTAAGTTCTTTTATATCAGCCTGTATCTTGGCTATTCTTCACAATAACAAATTTACCACAGAACTTACTACAATCCCTTTAACAGCATTCTACAAGGCCTGCTCAGTATATTCCTTTCCAGTCTTACCTGGAGACTGGGGTGACAGCCGAAGTCCAGCAGAGTCTTCACAACCTGAAGATGACCTTTATTGACAGCAATATGCAGAGGTGTCTGCCTACGCTTATTACGAGCATTCAAGTCAGCGCTGCCTCGGTGCAGGACTTCGATAACAGCACCCTCATCTCCAAAAGCTGCATGGTGAACGGCTCGATCTCCATCTTTATCCTGAATATCAGCAAGAAAGTTCAATCAGCAAAGAGTCAAGAAAGAAAAGCTGAAGCTATAAAACACTATGAACCAGATTAACTTCAGAAAAACTGTGGAAAAATATTAAAATAGTGAAACCAATAAAATAGCTTGAAATTGACATAACAATAAAAAACGATAAAACAAACCAGTTATATTACACCATATTTAAACTAGACCTAAGTCAGTACTAGGAGTACCTTATTCACATCGTAGTGCTAGGGGATCGAACCTAGGGTCTCACACAGGTGAGACACGTGCTCTACAGCTATGCACACCTGGCTCCTAACAACTTTTCAGACAAGATCTCACCATGGAGCCTCAGCTAGCCTTGAACCCTCTTGCCTCAGTCTCCCAAGTTGAGTCTCCCAGCTCAATACTTCTAAGTTACGTGAAAACTACACTAGCATCAGCTGAGTGCTAACAAAAAGTATGCTAAACAATGTGGTCTTCTTAATTAAGTAGAAATTTGACATTACATCAGTCACAGCTACATCTCAGTGCTGAACTTACCCACTTCTGTATATGTGAGAACAGAAAAGTCTTACCGAATAGTGCACCAAAATATAAAAAAACAGAAAGAAAGAAAGAAAGAAAGAAAGAAAGAAAGAAAGAAAGAAAGAAAGAAAGAAAGAAAGAAAGAAAGAAAGAAAGAGAACTGAACCAGTAAATTCCACACTTCCAAAATTCTAGAACTCTTTCATAGGACTTAAACTGTGCTTGCCATAGGGTATGTAATAGTCATATTTCTAAAGAGATGAAATTAACTTTTTTTATATAAAGGTAAGAAACTCCTTTATAAAGGGAAAAATGTTTTGCTGTACCATAAAGGTCACATATATTCTATATCACATGTGTTCACATATAATTAGCGTCATTCCCTTTGCAGAGGTAGATATGCATAGAGAAGGTACTATAATGCTACTGTGTTCATGAGAATACTATACTCCAAATGTCAACTTATTCAACTCCAAATGTAAGCCTATTAAAGCATTCCTCCAAAACAGTGACTCTCAACCTGTGTGTCAGTACCTAGCAGACTCTCTAAGTTTTACAGAGTTTGACAACTCATTTGGTGCCCAGAATCATCCAAGTAAATACTGCTGTAATTAAATACAAAACAGGCACTGAACTCAAGATAGTTTTTGTTGTTGTTGTTGAGTTTTCTTTGTTTTGTTTTAAGTATTTGTCTATTATTTTTCAAACAGACGTCAAAGGTAATCTTTATGTAGGCATTTGGTTCAATAACATTTCTTGAAAAGGTAGGAAATTTCTACCTTGTGACTATTTCCAGCTGAATCAAATTAGGAGTCTTTGTCACCTATCAATACTGAGAATAAAGGACTAGCAAGCAACCACATAAAAGGTTTCACCCTCACACTCTGAGCAGCACTGCAGTCAAGCATCCCAGGAAAACAAGCATATGTACACGTACACACACATCCTGACAGAGACAGACACACACACAAACTGATTTTCCAAACCTCCAATATGGATGTTTTTCCTATTATAATTTTTAAAATTCTCTGTGTGTAGTGGGGAAACAGAAAGACAGAGTGACACAAAGAGAGACAGAGAGAGTATGAGTGTTAGTTTGTGGACATGTGGACAGGTGCCCTTGGATGCCAGGGGCAGGTTTTAACCCCTGGGTCTAGAGTTACAGACATGTGAGATACTCAATATGGGTGCTGGAAACTGAACTTAGGTCCTGCATAAAAGGAGTGCATGCTCTTAACCAGAGACATACCTCCAACCCCTCTATTCTAATTTTTACCTTTCCATTTACAAAGGGAACGATCTACTAACACCAACTAAACAGAATAGGAATTATTTATGAATATGAATCTATTATACTTCTGGTTGTTAGGAAACTATTAACTGAAGCCAGGCACGGGCTACCCACTATAATCCCAGCACTAAGGAGGCAAGAGGACCACAGTTTCAAGGCCAGCCTGGATTAAACAGTGAGTTCCAGGATAGCCTGGGCTATATAGTGAGTGAGACTCTGTCTTAAGACAGACAAACAAGTGCCGGGCGGTGGTGGCGCACGCCTTTAATCCCAGCACTCGGGAGGCAGAGCCAGGTGGATCTCTGTGAGTTCGAGGCCAGCCTGGACTACCAAGTGA